AATGAGTTTGAACATTCTTTGAATTGAAGAATAAAGAATATATTAACTAAATATAATTGAATCAGCTAAATTAACTGAGCAGATCATAATAATATTTCTGATTGTGCATATGTGTCACTTTGGGTTTCCTGTGAAAGTTTAGGGTTAAAGTCCCGATGTGAAACAGCGATATTTATCTAATTTGTTTCATATCAATTTGATCAAGAAATGTTTCCACAACAGGTTAAATGTAATAAAGGACATGTTATGTAAGCATTTGAATTCTAAAATGGCTTAAATGTTACCTTTAGCAACAAAAAAAAGCTTTTGAAAAGTAGCTTGTTCAGTCACATGTGTTAGTCTGGCACATCTTGGACATGTTGTCATGGGAACACAACATCTCATGACCTGGCCCATGACCCACCAGACTGTTCAGGGTCTGTCACTGAGGGAGATCAAATAAAGGCTAAAGCTGTATAAGGAACTTTCCAGAACATTTAAATGTCATGTGACACCTGTGGGTCGTTATGGTCACTGTGGCAACCAAATTATGGTTTGATAATGTTTTCAAAGTAGTTGAACTATTTTATGCATTAAACGTATGCTTAAAAAGTATGTTTATAGTCCAAGATTGCATGCTACTTGTACTTTACTTGAGTATTTCCAATGTAGGCTACTTCACAGGTTATTACATTAATATGAAGTATTTATCTACCCAGCAGTATATGAAGTAGTTTAAATCACACCAACCTTTACCAGCTGTAAAAATGGTGACGCTTACAGATTATTACATCACTAATTATCCTACGATGACATTTACACATTTATAGATATATGTTATGATGTAATTGGCCATTCTGCATAATGTTTGCTTTCACTTTTGGTACTTAAAGTGTATTTTCTTCCACCACAGCATGGCTAAATCTCTGCTGTGTTGAGCTGATGAGGTCACAGCCTGGAGGTCACAGCCTGGATGCCAAAATAAACTTTATAAAAACATGACATTTATGGGTAAATTGTTTCTGTTGATTCGAAATAAACACCTGAACTTTGGAAAGAACATCCATTCATCTGTTTGCAACTTATATATATCAATATTCCAATTACTTGTATAGACTATTCTGCAATATTTATATTATATTATATTTTATTTACTTGCACTATTATCTGTTTTATTGTGTTGCACTGTTTTCATTGTCATAACTACACTGTAGCTATGCACACATGACAATGAAAGCCTTGAATCTTGAACCTTGAATCTTCTCCTGGATGAATGAATACACACAGTGTGTACTGACCTGCAGCAGTTGTTGTTTCCACACATGAGCACCTCTCTTCCTGCGCAGCAGATGGTGCAGTAGGACTGGTAGCCGTCGTCGTCGTACTGGTACGCGCACTCCAGGAACGAGTTCTGCCCGGCGACAACACAGGGTCAGGAGAGAGGGAGAGAGCGAGAGAGGGAGAGAGTCTTTGTTGTCAGCCATTATGACGTGTTGGATTTCCACTGTTTCCATGTGTCTGTGTAACATCTCAACACATTTTCTTTGAGGCTTTTGAAATACAACTTCCGCTGTGATTGAGAAATTGTTTGGCCTAGTTGGCCTTGTACCTCACTAGGGACAATTTGGGCTTAAAAAGTCTAAATGTCCCAATTGAAACAAATCACAATGATTGATTTCCCAGCCATTACAGGATTACATCACACATTATGTTGTATCAGACTTTCAATCAAGAAATCAACCAGCAAACATGACTCATATGTTTTGGTCTTGTCCTCGCCTACAAGGATACCGGACAAGCATTTTCAAACACCTCGCTGAGGCCTTGGACGTGGTATTGACACCATGTGCAGAAACTGCCATTTTTTGAGTACTACCTGGCCACCGAATGATGGGGAGGAAAACTAAGGACAGTATAGCCTTTGCATCTCTATTAGCACGTAGAAGAATACTCCTAGAATGGAAATCCTCGTTAGCACCTAAAGCATCTCTATGGCTCAAAGATCTTATGCTGTATCTGAAATTGGAGAAGATTAAATATAACCTGAGGGGCTCTTCAGAAATGTTTGAATCTGCCTGGGGCTCTGTGATAGCATACATAGCTGAACTTAAGATACTAGTTAGGAAGAAAGGGGGACTATGAATGTATATTTTTTAGTTTTTATATACATGTATGTATGTGTATATGTGTATGTAAATGTATGGGTATGGGTGTAGGTATGTACATATATATATATGTGTATGTGTATACAGTATGTGGGTATACATATTTGAGTATATGGGTACATGTATTTTTGTTATTTTTCTTTATTTCCTTATCTATTTTTAATTTTTCTTTAATGATCTTTTACATTACTTTTGACTCCGTAAAAAAATATATTGAAAAAAAGAAATGTACTTAATAATCATTTTTAGTTGTATTCCTTTTTTTCACAAGTTAACCCATTCTCTTTGCCTTATGGGACTTACTGTATAAATGATATTTTACGGGTTTTCTGCACAATTTTTATAATAAAGCATCAAAATTAAATGTCATCTCTTATCATCGACAAATCCAAGACTGTGGAAAAATCATCCATTCCTAGAACTTAAAGGGGTAAATACTGGAAATGAATGTATATATCATAGTTGCGGTGTAGACGGATGTTGGTTAAATACATTTAACTAAAGAAAAGTATAATTAAATAATCTTATTTTTTCTTACTTTGCAGCCCTGACACATTGCTCCTCCGAACAGAGGATGCTCGATGCTGACGTTGAGGCTTCCACAGGAGATGCACATATCTGAACACAGACAACATCACATTGTTATATTCAACTCTTTGTTTGGCCCTTTGATTACATTAATGTATGTAAGGTAAGGTACAACAAGTATGAGAACAATCTGAAACGTTACCGTCTATGTTCCTGGTTTTCTGTTTGACCTCACATATGAGTCTCTCTGGAACAAAAAACACATAAGAAAACGTCAATTTTGAATAAGAAAACATGCAGACAGTTCATTAACGAAGCAATAATTTCTATACAGAATCATGCAAAAGACTGTTAATAATTAATGTCATATATTAATAAAAACATAATTACATTTTGAGTTCAATTATGTATTTTTGTCAAAACAGAACAATTCTGATATATTATTCAGGATGTTTTTCTGTAGGAAAACTATGAAAAGAAAAAAAAATTTTATCCACCGGCATTTTTTTAAAGATGTTCTCTGAGTTAACTCCGCTACTTAAAAAATAATCATACAGTACAGAGAGGTTGTGAATTCATTTTATTAAAAGCAGCTTCAGATGAAATGTTATTTCTAAGCTTACCTCTGGTCCCTTCGTCGATCACCTCTCTGATCTTTAGTTTTTCCGCTGCGTTTTTGCGTGGTTTCTTTGTGGGCGGAGGCGTGTACGCGGCCTCCGGCTCCGCCCACATCTCTGGGAAGACGGGGACTTCCTTACATGGATTCTGTTCCTCTGCGGGAATACAGGAACACAATGAACATCGTATTAAAGGTCACCTAGTAGGCCTATAAAATCCACTTTGTGCTGTCTCTTCTACATCAACATGTGTCCCCTCTTCTTCATGTCTCTTCTACATCAACATGTGTCCCCTCTTCTTCATGTCTCTTCTACATCAACATGTGTCCCCTCTTCTTCATGTCTCTTCTACATCAACATGTGTCCCCTCTTCTCCATGTCTCTTCTTCATCAACATGTGTCCCCTCTTCTTCATGTCTCTTCTTCATCAACATGTGTCCCCTCTTCTTCATGTCTCTTCTACATCAACATGTGTCCCCTCTTCTTCATGTCTCTTCTACATCAACATGTGTCCCCTCTTCTTCATGTCTCTTCTACATCAACATGTGTCCCCTCTTCTCCATGTCTCTTCTTCATCAACATGTGTCCCCTCTTCTTCATGTCTCTTCTACATCAACATGTGTCCCCTCTTCTTCATGTCTCTTCTACATCAACATGTGTCCCCTCTTCTTCATGTCTCTTCTTCATCAACATGTGTCCCCTCTTTGTAAAGAGACTCTGAAAGTTTCAGGAACAAAGATTCTCTCTCTTTTTGTCCTGATCCATTTTTATAAAAACCTGTCTGAAATTGAGCTGATCAGATTTTGGCCACTTTATGATGTCACTTCCATGATGTCATCTTCCTCTGAACAATATCATGTTCCCCCTCTCCCTAACACAGCCACCATGCCTTTAAAGCAGGGGTGGGGAACCTTTTTCCTC